TTTTTTTGGTTTATTCTTTTTGCATTATTTAACTAGATGATAAAACAATAGAAACATACAAAAATATTGATTATTACTCAATATTATACAGAAATATAAGCAAAACTCCTTAGGTGGGCGGGGCTACCCGACTCTCCCCTACATTAAAAACAACACTAGAATGTTAGTGGTTTAAATTAATTCTATTTTATTGATTTTACTGTACTAATATGAAAATGCTTAGATTCAACTGCTTAGAATAGAAACTTTTATTCAAGGAAACTTTTCACAATCAATCAAAAAAAAAAAAAAAAAAAAAAAAAAAAAAAAAAAAAAAAAAACTGACTTTTCCAGACAGATTTTATCAAATTTTCCTGTTTTTTGAAACTGCTCACATAAAAGTTATTTATTTTTATGCTTTATTGTTATCTATAAAATGATACCAAACACTTACACTTGCTATTAGAGGAAAAAAATAAACAAATTTTTTTAAAAAAAAGATTATAATAAGAACAATCTTTTAGGAAAAAAATATTGGACTTTAGGTACTAAAAACTCAAATTAATTCATTGCCTTTTTCGATATTTTAATTTAATTCCCTGATTTTCTCAGACTGACAAATTACCTGTTGTTCTTGATTTTCTTGCTCTGTGACAACCCTGTAATGATTATGGCATACAGAATTTGATTATGTGATTGACACTTTTCGCAAAAAAATATAAAAAGGAGAGTAAGAAAAATGAAAAGTAGAATCTAAAATTAGAACATCAAACATTTGAAGAAAAATTAAATGGAAATAAATGTTTAAAAAAAAAAGTACATAAAACAATAAGAGCATTTACAAAAAAAAATAAGAGATTCAACATAAAATAAAAGGCACCTACATGCAATGATAAGAGCATCTACTTAAAATAATAACTGCATAGAATTTAATCACCTGATGAAAGATCGAGGTAGTGAGGATGAGCGTCTTAATCTTTGTTCAGCAGGTCTGTGAGATAAAGAGCACTTGGGAAGGACATTTGCATTTGAGGACAAATATGGAGATGTTTCAAGATTTGACGAAAAGTTCATAGATCGTGATCGTATGAGAACAGAAGGTTCATGTTCAACAGTCAACTGAACGGGTTTATCACGGGATTGAATGAGTTTCTTGATCTAAAATAATAGAGAATTCACTTTTCAAGCTCTAAATGATACTTAAGGAAAAAGAGCGAATATTCCTTTTACATTGAAAAAACATAAGGCATATTAAAAAAAATATAGCAGTAGAAATATATTATGCTAATATAGCAGTACGCAATATCGATTTTTTCATTAAGGGTTGTTCAAATATTACATAAACATCTAACAAAGAAGAAATGAATAATGACAAGAAATTAAAGTGGAGAGATACACTTCAAGGCTCGAAACAAAGAGTGGTCTGAGACAACTGAGATTTGACTTGAACCAGCATAAAATAAATGTCATTGATTTTATGAACCAGCAGCTGATATCATGGGATAATATGCTGTTTGTTTTGAATTTTGGTTTCATGACTTAGTCCATGTTTTTGTCCAAATTAATATATTATATCTTGATCATAATTTTAGCAAAAGAGTGAATATTCCTTTTACATTGAAAAAACATAAATCATATTAAGAAAAATATAGCAGTAGAAATATATTAAGCTGACATAGCAGTACCCAATATCGATTTTTTCATTAGGGATTTGTTCAAATATTACATACGCATCTAACAAAGAAGAAATGAATAATGACAAGAAATTAAAGCGGAGAGACACACTTCAAGGCTTGAAATTAAGAATGGTCTGAGACTACTAAGATTAAACTTGGACCACCATAAAATAAATGTCAGTGATTTTACGAACCATTGATATCATGGGATGATATGCTGTTTGTTTTGAATTTTGGTTTCATGACTTAGTCCATGTTTTTGTCCAAATTAACATTATACATCTTGATCACAATTTCAGCATTACACATTCACACTTAATCTTCATCTTAAAATAATCCCATATAATTTACAACAATAATTAATTTTAGAAAAAAAAATTACATTTCGAAAAGAAAAAAAAATTTTACACAAGAACAAAAAAAAGGGAGTTGGCAATTTGTTTTTTATTTTTGCTTGGGAGAGGGAATCAACTGCCCAAAAATATAGTTACATAATATTGGAACTAAATTTTATATTAAGATAGCTTTTTAAACTAAAAGTTAAACAAATGAGAGCTTCGGAAACATAGAATTTTATCACTCAATTAAAAAATGAACAAAAAGAATCAGACACATTATTAAATGAAAAATAATATGCCTGGTAAGAAAAGTTTTGTACAAATGTGCCCATGTTGCAAATTATTTAAAAGGTTAACATTAGATAATTCCTTCTTATTGCATAAACAGAATAAAAAAAAAATTCTGGGTTCAACATATCTGCTGCCCTTTAAATTTAAAATGATGGAGAATATTTTTAAGAAATATTTAATGTTATTTAAAGTGATATCAAGATTTTGATTAAGTGAGTAATTGTAACAATATATGAATTTATTTTAAAAAGAAATTTTATTTGTATGTAAACAAATTTCTGCAAGATATACAGAAAATTATATAAAAAGATCTAGCATACTTTAAAAAATAAAATTAGCCATTGGTATTCTGAGTTTGATACATGATCCAAAATCAATATCAATGCATATTAACATTACATTCAATTGCTGAAATACTACTAGTATCTGAAACTCTAACTTGTTCACACTTTTGGACGGAATACTTAAAGAAACACATCTAAATCTTAAGAAAACTTTCTAATATTTGTTTCACATTCACACATAGTTTTGATAAATACAACCAGTTATAACACCTCTGCTTTCTAATTTATTTCATTTTTTGTTTAATGATTTTTATTTAGCTAGTATTTTAGAAAATAAAATGGTTTTAGGATTATTTTTTAAAAATATTGAGATATTGATAATTTTCAGACATTTGCATCACATTTCAAACTTTTTTTAAAAAAAAGTGTAACAAATATTTAAGACGAGATTAATTTATTTACTAATTTTAAAGTAGATTTTACATTTAATAATGATATAGAAAAGATCATTATTAAAAAATAACAGAATAAATATGTCATTTTTATAATTACTATTAGTAACCCAGAAATTGTGATAGTATAACAATAAAAAATATATTTAAAAAAATATTCTTATGTATTATAGGCATTTAAACAATACTTACATTAATTATTAGCAATTAACTCAAAACAAATTATTTTACTTAAATTGTTTTTTAACAAAAATATCAGATAAAAAACATTTTTATACATTACAAAACATTCATACAAATACTTGTATATTACATTCATTCGTACAGATACGAAAAAATGTCATGGAACATACACAAATTATTAAGAATTTACTCAGAATAAATTAAATTACATAACTTTTATTTAACAAAAATATCAATCATACCTGCATAGTTTGATGAAATGTGGCTTTCTTTCTTATGTTATTATGCCTAAAAGCTTTTATAGAAATAAATTTCTTCGTTCGCCCTCAATTGTGAACGAGCTTCTAAAACCGCAATTTCCAGATTAGCAAGCGATCACACAAAAAGTCTCTCATTTTTCGAAGACAGGAGAATCTTCGAGGTCTGCTCCAAATGTCAAACTGAGCAGGCTTCTCCAGAACACATAATGGACTGCTTAGGACTTTCCAGAGAGGACTCACCCCCCCCCTTCTGGTCCTCAATTTCCTTAGGGTCAACGATTAGATGGAACCTGTCTGACTTCGTCAGACATTGGAGGATAAGACACAACAACAACAGAAATAAATAAAAAAAAGCTTACTTCATCTAAAGAATGATGCTGAAGTGGTGTGCCATTAACTTCCAAGATTCTATCACCAATGTGTAAAGACATTAAATCTTTATTCAGAACCACACTAAAAATAAAAATAAAATTTGAGATTATGACAATAAAGTAGTAAAGACTAAATAAAAGCAAGTCAAACTAGCATTGATCAAAAAAATATGAAAATAACTGAAAATTAATCAATTGTAAAATTGTTTTCTTCACAAACTAAATTTCAGCTTTATTTCATGCCTAATATTTCAACCAATATTAACCCCTTGCGTACAGGGCTTAACTTGGTGAGACTTGTCGTTCTAGTCCACTTGTTGAATCAACCATAAGTAAGAGGCTAATTTTAAAAAAATTTCCTATATATTATTTGAATTAAAATTTTCATATTTAATTACAGACTAAAGAAAGGAATTTGTTTCCAAAACTGTTCATTAGACAGATGTTTTAAAACTCTAAGAAAAATGAAACTATTAAATTGTAAATGAAATTATTAACTATTAACTTGTAAATGAAATTATTATTTAAAAATTAAACTGAACTTCATGATTAAAATTTTGTTAAAATTAATTAATTAGCACTGATGGCAGGGGAAAAAATGTAGGTACCACTGTATAAGCTATAAAAGATATGTTTGGTTACATTAAGTTGTCAATTAATAGATTAAAACACTTTCAATTAAGTGGTGTGTGAATATGTCATATTCATTGAAATAATTATGTGATAAACAAATTTCAAATTAATTTATAATATTCTTAAGGACACCAGGACGGAGAATGAATATTCAGACAAGTGCAGGCATATTCAAATCCAGAGCCAGCCTGGTAAGGGGTTGTTCCAATATTACGTAAGCATCTAATGTAGAGGATGTGATTTGTTTATTTTTTCGGACAAAGGGCAGGAGGGGTATGAGCAAAATTTACATAAGACATTAAAATCCCATTATTTTCAAAATTTTCATAAAAAATGAAACAAGAAATTTATATGTAGAAAATTTTCAAATTTGAAGAAAAAGTTAAGTTTGGAATGAGAAATAATTAAATAGCTGGAAAAAATTTCTTCAAAGAGTTTTAAGGGTCAAGAATTTTGAACACAAAAGGAAAACACAAAAGACTTCTAAATAATATTTTACTCAAAACTTTAAAGAAAAAAATTAAGACCTAAGTTTTTTTTTTTGCAAAATTACATTACATAATTTATTTGAATTTAATATTAATTAGATTACAACAGTAAATGTTTAAGTTAAAGCAAAATCAGAAGGGGGTGCAACTTTCTGACGCAGGTATAGGGGTTTGTGATTTGCTTATTTCTTTTGAGACAAACTTACCATGAAAACGTGTAATAGAAGTTTATTTTTAATAGGTCCTTATAAAAAAAAAAAAGTTAGAGGATGTAATATTTTTACTTACTCAGATATATGAAGCTCATGAAAACCTCTCTCCACTTTCTGATTTTGGCAACAACCAACAGATATTTTGACCTTTCTGTTGGAAGCTTCAGAATGGGCAGGAATTTCAACTAATTTAATGCTGTGAGGTTCACTAGAAAAGGGCAGTTTTTGAGAAAGAGGAGTCATTTGCTTTTTGTAGCAAGAAGCACTAAAAGGAAGAAAAGATATATAATTAACATCACAATGTATCAGACAAATATTGATTTTAGCATTAAACATTTTTTTTAAATGAAATAAAAAATTTTTAAAAAAATAATAATAATATATATAGAAANTATATATATATATCAGAATTTAACTCTTGAGCAAAATCTTGCCAAATCTGTTATAATTTGACTTGCAGTTACAGGTTTCGTATTGTTATTTTTCTACTGGTTTGGATACACAGCTACAAATTAACATATTTTTCAGGTTAGTTTAATTTAAAGTTACAAATTTTACATGAATATAAACTAAAAACCTCATACTTAAAAGACCTTTTCACTACATGAAAGAAATTTAGCTTAAAATTATATGTTTTAATACACTTTTTATTTTTTCTATAACAAAAGTGGAGGAAAAAAAAGTTACCAGTAAAGACGGCTCCTTTCAACTAAAGCAAAAGATTCTCCATCTCCAATATAACTGTTACAATTATCACAGGTAAAGCATTCAGGATGAAATTTGTGATCACCTGCAACCTTAAATGTAATCATGTTATTATGCATTTAAAATAATTATTAAATCACAAATGTTATCAATCACTATGCTTATAATTAATTATATATGCGTTTCTGTGGAAGACGAAAATTGCAAACTTTCATCAGTGAATGTCAACAACCACTTAGTTGCTTTGACAAATGTCTGAAATAAGTGCTAGATCTGATTTGATATTAATCTATTCACTGATATTTAAATATTTATTCAATATTTTACTATCCAAATAAGATAGATTAGGAAAAACACCGAGGAATACTGGGTAGGTGTTGTGATAATCGTTCTCCACTCCCAGGTTTTTCACAATTAAAATTTTTGTATTCCATACACTGATTGGTTTTTTTTAAAACTTAAGTGCTATTGCCTAGCATTTCCAACAAAGTTTCTTTAAGTGCCAAAGCTTGATACAAACTTGCCCAGCATTCCCTACACAGATGTTTCTTTTTTTAACTTTTTAAAGTTCAGTGTCACTGCCCAATATTCCCTGATGTTTTTCAGAACCTATTCTAATAGGATATTGAAACATCGGCCAAATATTAACATTTCAATGAACATATTCATATTAAGTAAGAAATAACAAACATTTTGGGCATTCACCAAAGCTACTATTTGATTGTTGACATTAAGCAGTGAAAGTCTATATTTAAAAGATTTCGTCCATTCATTTCATTAACACAGACATAACAAGGAAGGTTCTTCGAAATCAATACTTAGTGAATCGAAAATTTCAATGACAGGGTACATGCTTATTTTGGGGGGAAAGTATTCCTTGAATTTTCCCAAAATATCTGAACCAACATTGCTAAAAAATAATACTTACAACAAAGCAATACATAGGATAATAAAACTTGACAGGTAAACATCAATGATAGTTGAAAAATATGATTCATGATCAACATTATCCATAACATTTTATTGACACATGTAAATATAAATAATGATTTAGATCATTTGATGGGATAAGACTTTTATATATGATAGTTTGGCATTATACACTAAACTTTGGGAAGACTAAAGAAATAAAGAAAAATTTTAATTTAAAAAAAATTATTTAAATTTTTTAAAATTATACTACATCTATTAAAAAGAATAAATTATAACAAACTATAACATTGTCAGAATAAATTATCCCTTTAATAATTATATTGAAAATTGAACACATGGTCTAATTTTTTGGCATAAAAGGTAGAGAAAAAGTATTTATTCGGTTCCATCAAAAACTGTTATAGGCTAAGCTGTTTATTAAACAAGAATAAATATAAAAAAATTTCACTATTAATTTGAACATTACTATGAAAGTTAACTTCAGCTCAATATTTACCATAACTGGACCAGAAATAAATTGTTTGCAGTCATGGCACTTTTCTCCAAATTCATTCCAATAATCTTTTTGACAATATACTAAGCCATCCTTTTCAAAAAATGTTCCAACAACTGGATTTTGGCACATTGTGCATCTAAATTTAACACAGATACTTTATTAAACGCAAAATATAGTTTGAAACAACAAAAGATTATTTCTTAAACATATATATAAATAAAACATAATGGCAGTTATTTTTGCATAAAAACTATTTTATATTCCTATGCTTGATCTTCTAGAATTCAACAAAAGATAAATATGGGAAAATATTGCTATCCTACATATTATTTTGCTATTTACTAATGTACCGTGCATATATAATATAAAGACAAAAAAAAAAGAAAGAAAAGAAAGATTAATGAAGAAAATAACAAAATAAATAATTTTTAGTTAATTCTCTTATTAGTTAATTGTTATTAAACTAATTCTTTTCAAAAAATAATAAGTTTATTTTCATATTTTGTAATCTGGCAAACTAGTTACAAAAATAATTTAAATCATTTTTGCAAGACCCTGGTAAGTTGAAGGACATTTAAATTCGCTACTCGTGTTGCACAGATTTTCAGATTTGTATCCCAGCTTCAGTTATAATATTCATGATAATAAAATTTATCCTAACTAATTTAGCAATAACTCCGTTCATGTGCTTAATGCATCAAATACAACAACAAGCATACAGATGATGCAAAAAATAAGATATGACACCTCGACCAAGAAATATTATTCTCCAGCTTAGAAAACAAATAGAGCGACAGCAGATTTTACACCATCCATAAGCGCTAACAAAATTAACAGTTGTAAGAGAAAATTAGAATAATTCTAAGCATCAAATTACATTGCTGCTTTTTCTTGATTGTTTAAAGATAACTTATCTTTTCTACCATTTTTATGAAAGGACTCACTTTATGCAAAAAAGGGCTTAGAATTATAGAAGTCCTAAAGACCCATAACTTTCAAAGTCAAGTGAAATCACTGGTTTATGTTCGATAATAAATCATTAAAATGGGTAGCATGCCTAAGCTAAAATGTAATTCAATCTTTCAATCATTGAAAGCTAGGGAAGAGTTTTATACTAATATCTGGGTCTAAATGGTGGTCACGATTTGATGACAACAGGAATGTGACACAAGAAAAACAATTTTTAAAAAAATCACAGAAGATAAACACGAAAGGTATTAATTTTACTCACCTCTGACATGCAATTTTTTCTTTTGCTTGAAGTACAAATACACTTTGTAATTAAATACAAATACAATTGGTTGTTGGCAGATGGTGTAAACAAGCATTCTAACGGAATATCACCTTATACTTATAAATTTTCATGCATTTACAGTTTAAAACTAATAGCAACACACTGAATAGGAATGGGCGGTCATCAACGTATCTGAAAACGTTGATGTTCTGCAATCATCGCTATTCTAGTGTTTAAATTGAAGTGTTTCTTAATTTTAAAAAAAATGGAAAGCTTCAGAAATTTTGATTTAAGCACAATGAGTAAAACGTCTCCCGATGAATCATAGTCATCAATGTCTGCATACGCCGCTGAGAGCATTCATTGCTCATAATTTATTGTTTATACCATTTTTTAACACTTTAGTTGTTAAAAAACTGAGAATTCGAGAATTAAGTTTAAAATATAATTACCTTAATCAATCAATTAAATGCTCGAAAGACATAAGAATCCAAAATTACACAATACTTAAAGCAAAACATAAATGTAGCAAAAGATAGTAATTTTAAAGAGATGCAAAAATCTAAGCATCCCAATACTGAACACCTTAAAAATGTATAAATATGGAATTCTGTTTTCACTGTCAACGCAGTTTGGTTTCTGAAATGATGTCTATATTAATATCTGAAGTAATAAAAATTATACTGATACCGAAAGCATGAGCCATGCCAGTCCTTATTACATGCTTGAATACATTCCTCATCAGTAATATTTTCAAAACATCCCGAACAGAAAGGCATCACTAATCTAAAAATAAAATAGAAATAATTAACAAGGATAAAAATCGAACAAATTTCTCATAAATTTTTGTGATAGATATAAATATTAAGCAAAATAATTTTATTAGTGAAGTAACATAAGTCACATACAGTAGAAAGTCTGTTAGCTTAAGTAATAATATTAATATTTCTGTAAAAGAAAAGGTGATCAATAGGCACTTCAAAATTTTGAGTCCAAGAATCCTGTTTTGAGTCAAATTAAAAGCCAAAAGAAGTTATTTGCAAACTGAGGCACACGCATTTTTACATATTAAAGCATTATCTTTATCGTCACTTATTTATTAGTAGATTTAGTTTTTTATTCTTCCTAAATTATAATCTTTTGTAATTAACAATTCAGTGAATAGATTGCCCAATTCAAATACAACTCCAATTAACATAAATAAATGGAATTTAATTTTATGAAGAAATACTCACATACATACAATTAAGAGATGGAAACTTGAATTTATCAGTACTAATTTACCAATTTTCAAGACTGCAAACTCAAAAACATTTTTGTTTTTTTAATTTTCTCTAAACAGAGAAAAAATAACTCATAAACACTTTTGTGTTGCTAAATGGACAAAAATTTCTACATTGGTCTCCATAATAGGGAAAGATTCTTCGTATGAGGGATAGATTCTGTAATGGAGATAATAATGCCAAAATAAATCTGTTTTGCGAAACAATTGCCATGTTTTGGTAATTTAAAGGCAAAAAAAAGAATTTAAAAAAAAAATCAGCGTGGAGAGAACACATTAACAAGGTAAAGGTAAAATGATTTTAGCAAGTTCGACACTTTGGTTTTGCAATGTGGTATAACCAGCCTGACTTATTTTGCCTAACATAGCATAATAGTTATAATTCCATCTTATTAACTAATATTTGAAGATATTTCATTTTCCAATTCTATATTAATTTTTTTTGCGCTTTTAAATTTAACTATGGGGATATTTACGTATCGTAATCTGTCAGACCAACTACAATCACCAAATGGATTTTAAAATTGCAATTTTTTTTAAAACATGTAGAAGTTTACCCTTCATGTTGGTTTCTTTCTGAATGGGTTTTTTTTTTTCTTTTAGCTTCTTGCAGGCTACTGCCCGAAAGTTGTCAAAAACATGGCAATTATTATGCCGCAGAATACGATACAGAAATCGACTTTTCAAACCTGAGTTGTTTTATAAGTTTTTAAACATTAATTAAGCGCATTTGAATAGTTGAAATAGAATTTGGAACATTAGAGCACTTTCTAAGTTAATAAAAAAAGCAATTTTGAATTAGAATGTCGATTTTAAGTTTTGAAGTAGAATGTCAAACATTAAAGAAACACTCCCTGGTACTAAATTTAAGCAATTATAAAGCATAACCTTTTCAATTTTCGAAGGTTTTAGTCTAAGAATACACGCTTATATTTGAAATAAATATGTGTGCCCATGTTTTTTTATAATTTACACACTTTTAATAGCGTCACACAAATCATAAGCAATTTTTAGTGAAGTATAATAAACTACTATAATGATGTACATTTAAATTAATATCCATTAAAAGATGGGCGGTACCTTATTTAATAATTATACATGATAATATAAGGAACTAAAAAAAGTGTTCATAAAAATTCTAAGAGACTGAATAAAAATATATTTAATTTTTCGAAATTTTTAATATGCAGCCATGTTAATGTTTACAATAGCTACGAAAATAAATAATGATGCCAAAAAACAAACAAATTTTTTGCATAACACGGATGACATCATTAAAGGGCCTTTTACACTAATAGCAAATTTTCTCACATACGAAAAAATTGTCATCCATTGGGAAAGATCTATTCTCACTATATGTGATTTACGCATTGCGCACCCAGCTGAATTCGCGATCGCCATCTGGGGAGAAGACGGCTCCATGTCTTATCCCTCCCCCCTTCCATCTCCTCCTTTTTTCAGTTGTAAAGGCATGTACAACGATATTTTCCTTTTCAAATACTTTTCGTATTTAACTGTCAAAAACTTTTTTTAGATGTCAACGACACTATCTTTTAGAATTATAATCAATGTAGTTTTTAGTTCTACATAGTTTCTTAACTTAAAAGTTCTTAATCTATTTGAAAATTAAGACGGAATCTAACTTACTTCCTTCTTCTTTGACTCTCCACACGCCACCTGTAGCACATTTTGATCGCTGATCTCCATTTTTCTTTTCAGTGATCGGAAGTTCGTGAACCCCGTTGTAAATGGCTCGGTTTTACATTCAGCTCCGATCGGAGGTGCATAAGAGAGCATTAAATAGCCATTTACACCACATGCTAAATTTATCGTTTGGGAATTCGGATATTCCAGCGAAAACCTGATTGTTGAAATACTTTACCCATGAAAAAGTCATCAGTGATATTTTCACTCGTGAAGGAATTTGAATTATCGACTCAACTTACATCTATCAAAATGTTCTCATGATAGAATCAAGTTACGGTGGAAATCACATAAATCTTGGTGCGCTGCCTCGAAGCGGCATTAACCGACTCGTCGATAGTTATAAATCGATGATGAGGAGTAGTGAGGAGGAATGGAGATGGGAGGAAGAGGGCTCAACACCAAAAAATCTAGAGGGGGTTCGTGTGACATGGACAATCATGAAATGTAGAATGGCATGGGGTGCAATTGAACAATATAATCATAAACAATATAAAGTAAAATAATCATGAAGATTATGATGATCGATAATATTAAGGAAGGTCTGGGTTAAATATAAAATCTATACATATTTACAACGCACGATAATCAGCGCAAATTGAATCAAAAATAAGATAAAAATAAAATAGATATATACAATAAGGGAATAAACAAGGAGCGAAAATTATGACATGGAATCAAGTTAACATGTCATATGTACTAGTGAATTGGTATTTCATATTTATAGTGGTAATTACACCGCATTACTCCCCTACCAAAATTTTATATGTGATAGAATTCGATGAACGAATACCACTAGCTGATTTATGCTAAAAAAGAATTATATCATATTTGCTCATTATTTTCTTAATTTTTTTATATCATTCCGCTCATTTTTTTTCTTCAATTTTGTTTATTGACCGGAAAACTTTCATTTACTTCACCGGATTTTTTTTTAGCGCTATATTTTAAGCGTATCAACTGTTTCAATGTGGACCATCCATCAATGTTGGCTAGTTCATATCACGTCCGGGTCACCATCATAAAATAATTAGTTAATTATCCATATTAGATCGTCTAAAGGTTTAATCAAAATGAGCATTTTGCTCTTAAAAGGAAAACATTACATTATTGGATGAAAACAAAACTTTATACACATTTCTTTAAGTGCACGCCGCCACACTGCAAAAGACGTTTTGCTCTTTTGTTCTAGGGTTGCATTATTTTTTTCTGTTGCCTTGGCAATGATTTTATTCACCACAGAGTATCCCCCCAGTGACTGAGGGTAACCGAAGAAACGATATAACCACTAGAGCAGAGTATGTTACAAGAATTGTACAATGGATATAAATAATAATATTATGAAAATTGGTTAACAGAAATTAAAAAACATAACAGAAATTTTAAAAAAGCATTTTTCTCAACTATTAAACATACATCACAAACTAAACTACAATAATGAGTTATTTAGTTATGTATGTCTCTAATTTTTTTGAAAATCTGACATGTCTGTCAGATCTTGTACGTGCAACAGTTGGTTGTTTGGCTGGCTCCTTTTGGTCCGTTGGTACAATTGCTTTTGACACTGCTTTTAAAGCAGTTTCCTTTAAATAAAGGGCGGGTTTCACTCGATCTAGAGAAACCGTTGTTTTTCGACCATTCAGTTCAATGGTAATGCTTTTTTTTTTCAATCTATTAATAACTTTATGAGGACCGGAGTAAGGCTGACGCAATGGAGGATTTACATGATCGACCCGAAAATAAACATGAGAGCAAGATTTCCAATTTGGATGAACATAAAATTTTTCTTCGCAATGTACTGTTGTGGCAGCTGGTGTTAATTGCTGCATATGATTTCGTAATTGTGAAATGAATTCATGATTAGACGTAGTTGGCTTTGCATTTTCAAACATCTCGCATGACAAGCGTAACGGAGATCCATATACGAGTTCAGCTGAAGAAGAATTTAAATCTTCTTTGGCTGTTTTTATTCCCAATAGGACTACTGGAATTGTCTCAAGCCACTGGTTTTTTTCGTGAGCTTTTAGTGCTGACTTTAGATGCCTGCTGAATCGTTCTACGATTCCGTTTGAAATTGGATGCTATGCTGTAATCCGTATTGTAGACGTCCCCAATAGGTCTGAAAGCTCTCTGAACAACTTCGATTCGAACTGTGCTCCTCGATCGGTTGTTACGATGGAAGGACAACCAAATCTACTTAGCCATTGGTTAAAAAAATTTGCTGATGGTTTCTGTTTTTTGGTCAGGAATAGGTATGTGCCTCCGACCACCAGGTAAATCGGTCAATCATTGTCAAAGTGTAATTGAAACAACCTGAGGAATGTAAAGGTCCAACAATATCCATATGGACATGAGAAAAGCGTCCATCAGAAAGAGAAAATGTTCCAGGCGGTGTTCTAGTATGCCTTTGGACTTAAGTGCGTTGGCAAGGTTCACAACACTTAGTCTTTTACTTCGGCTTTTATTTCTTCCCAGTCTTTTATTTCGCGTTTCATGAATGGCCATACAAATCTAGATGAGATTAATTTGATACTGGCGAGAATACCAGGATGAGAAATATTGTGCAGGTGGTCAAATATGATTTTTCGATACGACTCGGGCACAAAGGGTCTTGGCTGGCCGGTTGCTGTATCACATGTTAAATCATCATTAGAAATATGACATGGTTTCAATTCAAGTTTCAGAGAAGTTGTTTGATTATTAAGATATTTAAGTAGCTCTGAATAATAATTTTTTTTTTTTGTTTCAGCAAATTTATTAAAATCTAAAAACGTTGTTTTGGCAAAAGAATTAATTTCAATTCTAGATAAAGCGTCCGCGACTTCGTTTTGAAGACCAAGCACATGACGGATATCTGTAGAATATTGGGAAATGAAATCTTAATGTCGCACTTGTCGAGGTGAACATTTGTTAGGATTTTGTTCAAAGGCAATTATTAGGGGTTTTCGATCAGTATAGATTTGAAATTTTCTCTCCTCTATCATGTGACGGGATTTCTTAATCTCGGAGTACATAGCAAATACTTCCTCGTCATACGTTGACCAATTGGGCTGACTTTTATTTAATTTGAAGGAGTAAAAAGCTATTGGTTCCCATTTATTTTGCGAAAGTTGCATTATAGCGCCACCAACTGCGACATTCGACGCATCTACACAGACACTCATTTCAGCTCCAGGCATGGGGCGTCTCAAACGTGTTGCCTGAGCAATAGCATTTTTAGTCGCAATAAAAGAATTTTCAGCGTTTTCGTTCCATTTAAGAGGTTCGGAAGAATCATGACATTTGGAACGAGATTTTTTTTATTTTTATGCCCTTCTAAAAATTGAACTAAAGGAGCAAGTATATGGGCGGCTCTGGGTGTAAATTAAACCAGGGCTGTCCAACTGCAAGGAGCCCACGGGCCAGAATTCCGGTCGCTGATCACCGGGTGGGCCATAATTTGAAAAAGTTGAACAATAACCTCTTATCTCTTATACAATAACAATTAATAGTTGAATTATTAATTATAAAATAATAGAACAGAAGGATTATAAAACAATTTGTTTTCATTTTAATGGGAAAACAGAGGCCGATCAGTCTGAATAAGAAGTTGGCGGACCGCACAATATGTGTTGGCGGACCGCTAGTTGGACAGCCCTGAATTAAACAATCCTAAAAATTGACGGAGTTTAGTGAGAGTAGAGGGCTTAAGAAAATCAGTTACGCATTTAACTTTATCAGAGAGATTCAATTCCTTTCTCAGAAAGGTTAAAACCTAAAAAATCAATTGATGATAGGGCGAAAGTTGATTTAGAAACGTTTACGCAAAGACCATATTCCTCTAATCTAGAGAATAAAGCCTTTAAATGTTTGAAATGCTTATCTGGATCTTTTGATGCTATAAGGATATCGCCCACAAAAGCATAAACGCCTGTTAAGCCACCAGTGACTTCATCGATAAACCTGTGAAAAGTGTCACAAATTGCATCCTCAAACTCTCATACAAGCCGAATGAGGTGCATATTGCACTCTTGTGAATATCTCCAAGATTTGTGGGAATGTGATGATAGGCTTTGACAAGGTCGATTCGACAAAATATCTGTGATCCAGGTAAATTTGCTGTAGAATCAGCAATGCAAGGAATTGGATGTATACTTGTGAATTGGTATTTAACATTTATAGTGGTGGTTACGCCACACTAGCATCTTCGAATTCGCATATGCGATTTTGTTTCACATGAAGTGTGAATGCTCCCTAACATTAAATATGATTGGACTGGACTCGCGTGCAAATGTGTATAGTCCATTCCACCTTAAGTTGGCACTGGAGAGAAAGGCACGTAGACCGGATTACAGCAGTTGTCATGGAAACTGGGTTACTCTCTAAGTCAGTTGGGGGATGAGGTAGCAAAAAAGGGAGAAAAAGCGGCAGTATTGGCGTTTAAGAAAGCAAAACGTCGATTTTTTTTAAAACCAAGAATCGTACTAAAATTTTGAACAAAATACGGAAAAGAACACGATTTTTTAGAGCATTTCTAATAATTATTATTTAA